AGTTCTTCAACTAAAATCTAATTGGGGTCTTATCATGCAATAAGACAAGCAATAATCATAAAGACAACCAAATTTGCATATAACATATCAGCTGGTTTAAGATTGACAATAAGCATACGATAGAGGTGCTATTTGAATTGAGCTTGTCACTGTCTAAATGGCCTGTTGGTCATAGGTGAACTCCATTGTGCACTTCTCTTTACATACAGCACTCAATGGTGCTCTCAGGTCACAATTAATAGGCTAACATGCAAATACACAACATTTATGTCAGAATGTCTTATTAAAGCACAAGCCTACTTAGGGAGACAATTATTCTTTGCTCTTGTGCCTGCCACATGAGCGATCATCTAATCTGTTTGCAGCTCTTGAGTATAAACTGCTGAGCAACACATGGAGAGCTTTTTTCCCCTTTCACCCTAAACTTTATCACCACCAGACATCAGGCATTAATCAGCCCAATTATGAACCCAAAACCCTGGGGCTTGTCTTCAGGCTTAGCAACCAAATAAGATGCAAAGCTGAGACATTCAAATAATTTCTAACTCAGGAATAATACATTCCCTTGGCTCCACTGTGAATGTTTGTCCCCAAGCACAAGGTGCAGATAATTTAAACACATAAGCAGGTTCTTGGCGTACCTTAATCAACACCGACGGGGCATTTTAGCAAAGAGAGAGGGAGGCAATAAAGAGATAACACTGGTGCAACCTGGGGACTTGGTGCTGCAGAAACATGCAGTATTGCAGGCCTGGGGGTAATGAGCAACGAAACTCCTGACTAGAAGTGCTCCTGGTGATTTCTGCATATGTATGAACCCTAACATACACCTACAATACATTGACACAGCTTGTGAAGGCTACTATTAGACAAGTTCGGACCTGATGAGTAATATTGTTGGATATTTTTTAAGGCCGTCATTTAATGTGTTAATTTCATTAATTAGTTATGGAAAATAAGATTATTAAAATATGCAGTTTATGCACTGGCCCCGCCCCAGACGTGTACGCCTTCTTACATTTCATACAGTAGACTGTTGTCTTTTGGGGGTATTTTCACAGCCAAAGTTAATTTGTGATTAATTAGATTAATAAATTGCCACATTATTTAATTAATTAGTTAAATATTAGGCCTAATATTTTTCGTTTTATAAACTTTTACTTACTTTGCTTGCTCATTTGCAATATTATTTACTCTCAAAGACTGTCAAATAAACCTGATATATGACCGTTTTGTATTGCACAGCATCCTTCCCACTTCAAATAAAGGTGATCCGCCGTCACTGCATGGCTGAGAGGACTGTGAGAGTATTATTTTATAATAGAAAATCAGCATAAAGTACTTAACAGAATTGAGTGAACTGTGTGATTATGAACAATAATGGCCAATTAACACAAGAAGCCTTAAGAGCAGCCTTTTTTTTTCACACACTACCTAGTCTGTGGATAATGTTCATAATAAAACTTCCTTAAACCAGATGTCAGCACTGAAATCCCACATCAAACTGATATATGAAACCATTTTCCCAAAACAAACATACCTCAAAACGTTACTGGTGCCATTCCCACAACATATTAAGCTGAGAAATGCTGAAGGCAGAATGGTGAGAGCCTTTCTCAATGATAAAGTACCTTCCCCATCAGGTTTCACTCATACAGGGTGAAAATAGAGGAAATTTATCAAAGAGGTCACTTTAACACATTCTAGTCTTCACTCTATCTCTCTCTAAGTGAAGGATAGATAAGTGCCACCAGTGTTGGGGGTAACGCATTACAAGTAATGCAAGTTACGTAATCAGATTACTTTTTTCAAGTAACTAGTAAAGTAACGCATTACTTTTTAATTTACAAGAGAATATCTGAGTTACTTTTTCAAATAAGTAACGCAAGTTACTTTTTTTTTTCCAATTTATTGACTGACAGCTATCCTGTCCCCATGTTGAGAGAAATCAGAAGATGTTACCGTAGTTCTAAAATAAATATGAATATGCATTAATTCATCTCACTCTAAAAAAAAAAAACAGATTCAGTATTCCTCAAAATGAATAAAAATAATGCAACTCAAAATATGACGCAAACCTGCAATAATTAAATGTTAAACAACACAAATATCCTTTATGTATTTAATCCCATTCTATTAACCAATGTCTTTGCTTCTGACCTTGGATGATCCAGTTCAATCATACTAATAAGCAAAAATTTCTCAAGACAAACATTTGTGTGTCTTTTTTTAAAATTCTGAAATTTCTTCTTCTGCATTCTACTGTACGGACGTAAATTTACTTTCCCTTCAGCCTGAGGCTTATTCATTTCACTTTTGGTGTGAAAAGGCTTTTATATTTGCCAAAAATATAACTTTTTTTATTTTAAAAACAAACAAGCAAGCCCTGTCCAGATTTAAAAAGTAACGCAAAAGTAACGTAACGCATTACTTTCCATAAAAAGTAACTAAGTAACGTAATTAGTTACTTTTTTATGGTGTAACGCAATATTGTAATGCATTACTTTTAAAAGTAACTTTTCCCAACACTGAGTGCCACTGATGTGACATGACTTCCAAATGTACGTAGCTCAAGTATATAGAATTGACTAAAGTTCACAGATAGGACATAATGGCATAATATGCAGTTATTTTAGGCATAAGTTGAATGCATAATAGGCCGGGTTGGAAATGTTGATTTCTCAATTTTGATGGATTCTCCTTTTGATTAACCAATATCGATTGTTTAATCCCTAGGGTTGGTCTATGCTAGATCGATTCTTGGGATCTAGCATAGATCGATTATTGGGATTGAAAAATGGCATTAAGCTTTGTACTTCATTCATTTCGAAATGAAGCAAAGATTCATATTTAAAGTTGTCAATTATATCTCGAAATTCAAACTATAGAGCTCTTTAATGTAGCGTGACAGATCACTGTAACCTCCTTAGTACAAGCGGCAGCACTGAGCGCACGTGAACCGATCATATCTTCCTCTTTACTACCAATTACTGCAAGAAATGAACATGAATGAACAGAAGGTATTTTGAAAGAAACATTACAACTTACCAAATTGTATCTTGTAATCACTCATGTAATCACTCATGTAAACTCTAGAAAGAAGCATTTTGCTAAATATATGCACTACATTACATATTCATTATATTTTTACTTTTCTTCAATATTTAATATAGAGCCATGTTTGAATAAATCCGTCATGACATCCACTGTTTAAATCTTTATATTTAAACAACAAACTTGAGTAGAGCCATGATTATATAATAAAAAAAGCATTACAATTTTTATTATATAACAACATTTTATTATATTTATAAATTACTTTAATAACTTTAATATAGTAATGTACCAACTGACAGGGTTTATTGTATAGTTTATACAGTATTTGTAAAAAAAAAAAAAAAAAAACTGTCCTTTGATCAAAAGTTACATGTAGTGGCTACATTTTCTTTAAACTGGTTATTCTAAAATCATCCTCTGATTCTCCGGATAGTGTCTAAGTCACATCATTTCCCCATAATTGCTGCTTTCTGCTTTTGATGAGTGATGAAAGCAAAAGCGAGTAGAAATAAATGTTGTTGGGTATTATGCTGTTTGTTCAGTGTTAATTATCAGGAAGCACCAACCTGTTGTCGAGAAATGAGTTCTGCTTTACAGTGGATTTCCATTGCAGCTGTTAGGTAATCATAGTTAACCATGCGATTGCATTATTTGACTTCAGAGATTAAACTTCTCTTCATCTACACTATTTAATATGTATGTTTTAGACAGCTGATTGGCAGGAACATAGAAATGTACTTTAAATTATTTAAATGAGTTGTCGTTTATGGAACAGAATTGGTTAACACATGAATAAATCTTGAATAAAGATAAAAATTTCTACCTTGTAAAAACATTAAAAAAAATACTCCCTTCCTATATATAGCTACGAAGCAGTGATCTTTAAGAAACTGCAGTTGTCCCCTCGGCCTTTCATTATGAATATGTCTTTAATATTGAGTCTCTCTATAGCTGCTGCTGCGTTTTTTTCCCCACACTGACCTCTGTGGCATCACCTCTCTGAGCGCTGGCCCAGCATGCAGGAGACAGAACAGCATGTCAGCTGTAGCACGTTTAATGATTATAGGGAGTCGGCACCTTTAGCCCATGGAAAAGTAATTTGAAGACTCTCCTAAATGCAGTTGTGTGACTTTAAAAGGATGAAACTACACTGCATGTTTTGCTGCTTTATTATCACATATATCTGTGCAGCCCAAACTATTCTCTGAGTCCTGGCTTTGATAACTCAATGCTAGTGAAGGCTACCATTCCTAGGAGGACAGATTTATGCTCTAGGTGCTCAACAAGCGAGCCAATCTGCCACGCTGTTACTAGAGGATGAGATACACCTGCTTAGGTGACCACAGTGCCACACAGTCCTTGTATCAGACAAAAGCTGGCTGGGAGCTCCAGAGGGCTCACTCTTATAGGGGATTTTCTCCTCGAAAGATACAGACCGAGGCAGTCAGAGAGAATGAGGGGATGAGAGCGATAGAAACATCCCTCACAGCAGCTGAGCAGCAATGACAGACATCTGCGGCCATGCTCCCCTCCAACAGGAAGCGTTTAATTTTTGCTTTCGACACAGTGACAGTCCAATCTTCCCTCTGTAATTACGTGTTATTAATCTGATGTTATCCTTCTCCGCTTGAGGAGGACCTTGGTTTTGGCAGTGCAATTATTGACACTGGCAGGAGTCTACGGTTCCTATGGCTTTGAATGGGCATGTCTAGGCCTGATATATATATATATAAATATATATTTGTCTTGGAAACACCAGGCTCTTCCACTAATCAGCGATCTCAATCACCAGAGTTCTGATCACATGCACCTGACCGTCATTCACTAATCACCAGCACCACAGTATAAGAGCACGCAGTTCACACAAGCACATTGTATGGTCTCCATTGTGGATAAAGACTCATCGCTCATGCCAAGCTACTTACCTGAATTCCTGTTCCAAGTCTCCCGATCTCCTTCGTCTTCTCCTGGTGTTCCTGTGTGTGTGATCCAATTACTTACCTGCATCCAATCCCCGATACCAGCTCCTAGGAAAACCTCCCGTCATCTCACACTCTCCAAAACCTGGTAACAGGAAACACCGTCATCAGTATCCTTGCTCAACTCAGTAAAGACTCTTTATCTGCCATTTAACACCTGCTTCTGCTATACCCTGAAATCAGCACAATAAACCCGTCTGTTTGATTCCAACCTGTCTGTGTCTTGAGTCTGACTACACGTTACAGAAGACCAGACCGTACCACCATGAATCAGACCGATGTGGACCCATTCCAGGAGCTGGTGGATTCATTTCGCTGTGTGCTCACTCCTCCTGTTACTATCACACCAGCAGCCGAACCGGTTTCCCCAGCAGTCACTTCTTCACCCGGACCGATCTATGCTGCCAGTCCCATGGTCAATCCGGCGCCCTACTCTGGTTCGGCAGACGATTGCAGTGGATTCCTCCTGCAGTGTTCGCTCACCCTGGAGATGCAACCACATCGTTTTCCAATAGAGGGGACTAAAATCTCCTTTATTCTGTCTTCATTAACAGGTCGAGCGCTCCAATGGGCAGAATCAATGTGGCAGCAGAATGGACCGGTCACTCAATCCTTGAATGCCTTTATTACTCACTTCCATGAAGTCTTCGGTCGGCCAGTAGGAGATGCTTCAGTTGGTGAGAAATTATATCATCTGAAACAAGGCAAAACCTCCGTGCAAGATTATGCTCTACGTTTCCGCACTCTCGCAGCCTCAAGTGGTTGGAACGAGCGCTCCCTGTTAACGACTTATCGCCAAGGACTAGAGCCCTCTCTGCGGTTGCATCTCTCCGCTTATGATAACACCATGGGGCTCGAGCGTTCCATCCAACTCTCCATCCGGGTGGCAAATCGGATTCACGGCTGTATGGAGGATAATCGATGCCAAAATCCACCCGTTCCGCTCCGCCAACCAGAGCTTCCCAGCCCTCCAGAACCACAGTATGAACCCATGCAAGTTGATAACGCCCGGTTGTCCTCGGCCGAACGGCCAGCGATTCATTGAACGAGCCGTATAACATAAATTCTGCAATGGATATTAATATCCAAAGTATAGTGAAAACACTATTTATTAGCACAGTAACAAGATCGGCAGTTTAAGACATTAACTTGTAAGCACAAAACACAAGATACTTCTCTTTTCAATATAAATAAGGCTTTATTAGATAAATCTAAGACATATAAACTAGTCTAACACATAAACACAAGTACTCACACATTTAACACAAGTTGCAGGAAGAAGAAAGTGAGGAAAGAATGAGTTTAAGAGAATGAAAATGTGAAATCCCAAGTTTAAAGCAATTGCATAGACCTGAACAACCATCAATCACTTAATTAACCCTCGAATTGAGTTCCTCAAGGTTAAAATTTTATATTAAATGCACCAGTTCAGCTAGAATCTGGAGGTACTTGCGTTGCCTGTGTGGGGGGTTCCCTTTGTTGTCATTGTTGCAGAAAAGGGGGTTTCCCCGAGGTTGCAGATTGGCTGCAAGTTCAGTAGTCGTAGAAGTGATGCCTTGGGAAGCCAATGGTTGGCCGTTGGCTGAAGATGCGGATTTGTGGGCTGGTTGAAGTTTTGAAGCGGTCGGTCACAGACTCGAGGTGAACTCGGAGACATGAAGTTGCGGAAAAACTTAACTTGGAACACGAAACTCTCAACGGAAAAGAAAATAAATTAAAGTAGAGGAATAGAAGTAAAGTTTGACGAGACTAGGTGGCGTTTCTCCTCATGGTTTTGGGAGTAGCAGCTGGCGTGTAAGCCAGAGCACACTCAAAGAGCGCTAAAAATCAAAGCTTAAAAAGCATAACTAAAAGCTAAAAGCAGTGGCTAAAAAGCAAAACTAAAAAAGCATGCCTAAAAACTTGACTAAAAAGCTAGAAGCATGACTAAAAAGCACGGCTAAAAGCCATGACTAAAAAGCAGAATTTGATGGTGTCCTGAGTATTTAAACCGGGTTGTTGGCCACATCCCAAATGGTGCCTTGACCGATTAGATATTGTCTTTGCTCGGGGTGTTGTATGTTTCTCCTCCCAATTCATAAATCAACATGTGATCTTATCAGTCACATGGTCCGAATTTTCCCGCTCTTGCAGAGTATAATTTTGGACATGATTTCTATAACAAGAATATAATACATTTTACAAAGTACTGATTGATATGAATTTTCAAACTACATAAATCGCTCTGGGTGTTTTTTGGTATTTTCGCCTAAATTTGACATACTCAAATTCAAATGTTTACTGTTTACCCATACAATGGAGGAAATTTAAAAAATTGTTTCATTGTAAAGAAAACCCTTTGAACTACAAAATATGAGTGTAATTCTTTATAAATAACATTATATACTTTTCAAATATTACAATAAACACAAAAAAAACATAGGCGCTTTTGGAGTTTTAAAACAAATTATTTGTTTGAAATTCTGTAATTCAGGTTTTATTAGGCCCAGCTCTCTGCAATTTACTTTGTTTGATGCCACTAGATGCCAAAAAGTACCAGAAAAAA